GGCAGATGCATTCGCAACGCACCTGCGTTCCCGGACCAACTCAGCATCGTCAGCCATCGTTAGCCCCGTGACAGGCTCGTTTAGCCGCGTCAGCTCCATTCAAGTGCCACCATCCCCAGCCCGGACCATCTTTGAGGAGGAACTCAGCGAGTCTGGCACGCAGCCAATTGATATTGTCCGCTCGAGCAGATACAGTCAAGACGATTCGGGTCCGCAGGCAACAACCCCATTACTTCCACCTTTTATGGGGGATGAACCATCCTACCCTGCCGTCTCTCGTGTTCACTCCCCATTGCAATCACCTTCTGTGGCTGATATGACTGACGATGGCTTGAACAATCCCACTGTGTTGGACAGGCGATTGGCAGGCTTGCCGTCACCGCCTCTATCTTCGAAGCCGTCCGTCGCCTCTTTTAGTCGTCCGCGTGCCAGCACGGTCCGGACAGTGTCGGGGGATGCGCCCCCATTCACCCTCTCAGATCCTAATGATGAATGGGCGAACAAATTGGGACACGCCAACTTCACTATCCAGCCTGAGCCTTATATGCCCGAAGTGATCGACGTGGATTCCCTTCAGCAGCTGCGCACCAACTGGGATCTTGCGCAATGCAATTTCGCTCGTCATCTTGTGCGGACAGGGGAACACTATGGTATTACCTCAAAAATCTACAAGCTGACTGAGGAAAAATGGGAGGTGATCAATCGCGAGTGGAAGAGTCATCATGGAGCAATGCTTTCTCAGCTAAGAGGTACAGAAGGAGTGCGACTAGATTTGGTCCGTTCGCACTGTGACCCTTGCCATCCGGTCAAATTACCGCGCTTGCATGACGACAAGTTTCCCGAACTAGGCGACGGCGAGATCGTCGGACCGATGAAGATCGCCCCCGCCGTCAGCGGTTCAGGCCTTTGTCGAAGCCGCTCGCTCAAACGCAACCTTTTCAAATTTTTCCAGGATCTCGTGATTCGGTCCTGATCCTTCACTTAATGACCACAAACTCTACTGCGGGAGGATTCGATGTACAACATCTGACGAATGCTACGCCTCTTGAACGATCCGCTCGATTCAGCGCGTGATGACTAATGCATATGATTTCTTTGCGTCTCTGCCTATGACTCTGTGATCCAATAATGATGCTTGACGACCTGTTTTTTGTACCTGTGACTACTGTCTCATAGAGTGCAGTCCATTCCTTGATGTTTAATTGACCGAAACCCCCGATTCTACTTGTTAATCTGTGCCCTTCCGGCTATTGCCTCAGACCAATATGGAACGGTCGTGCTGTACTGCGCCTGCCGCCACGTTATTACTTTGTATGCATATGCATGGCTTTTGCGATTCATGTCTTGTTCATGGTGTCAGGTTTCTTGCTTGCTGGCGAAAGCCACATAAAGTGCTAATAGGCATGACAAGAGTGGTGGCAGGTTATTCCTGGCTACCGAACTCTTCGGTCCGCAGGACAGGATGTGTGGCAGGAGGACCATACTAAAAGAACAAAGTACATGTTCTGAAATGAACCAAAGAAACGGAAAATAGTTGAGATACCAAGGGGGAGGGGGAGGTATTGCAGCATTTGCGCCTTATACCCTTGAGACATACATTTTAAAACGATTCGTTTCTCCCAGAAAAGTCCACATAGCTATATCCTCACACTTACACAGATAGAATTCGATTGGATGCAATTTTTGACATCAGAGGGGTACGCTTTCGCAAAGGAAACAAAACATGTTTATATTTTTGTACATATAAATAGTGTATTGACATTTATATTCACGATAGCTGCAAACCTCCTACCCTCCCAGGATTCCCTGGAACCGCTATACAAGTCTCTTGATCCACGCTGCTGGGAAGATGTCTGCAGATACAAAGCCAGCAGTTGATGGGGGCGGGGATGGTGGTTTTGCCGGAACAAAAAAACCGACCAAGCCCGAGCAAAACCCATACAACGAACGACTGAGTGACTGCAGCGCAATGCCTCGTGATAAAGCTGTTTATCATTGGTTACACCCAGTACTGGCTCCAAAGACGCTTTGCTTCCTCATCTCCCCGGAACTGGAACTCTACCCGAATGATATCTATGAAACCCTCGTCCATGGAAGGCTCCTTGAAACGACGAAGGAAGTCCCCGAAGGCGATACCGGGAAGAAGGGTACGGGATTCCGGATTCTGCAGTGCCCGTATGTGGGCGAGATGGTCAATTGGGATTCTAATTTCGTGGTTTTTCTGGGAAAGAAAGAGAGGGATAGGTGGGGGAGGGAGGGAGGGGGATTCGAATGAGGACAGGTGCGGGGTGCACCATGGCAGAATTGGAATCAACATGGAGGATCAACAGAAAGAGTGAGGTTCCAAAATTTCATGGAGAACTGGGGAGGGGGTGGTGGTGGTGGGAAAGTGAGGGCTTGGGGCAAGGGAAAGGCAGCTCAGACAGCTCAGACAGCTCAATGAGGGTAGATACACGTAATATGAGATAGACAAGCCAATCTCATAGTTGGCAGTATGCTAGAACCAAACAGGAACCTGTTTCAGTTGATAGATAGCTACTTGTGAGGTACTGAGTGTCTTGTACCCTGTACGCTCCGAAGAAAGCGAGCGAATGACGTAAAGAACACTGGAAGTCAAACCAGATGTGCAACGTACCAGGGATGGGTTAGCGGCACGGACCGCATTGTTATGCCGGCAGAGGGTCGGGGAAGCAGTGAAATATACGCAGCGAATCGGCACCTTGAACTCCCTAGCCACTGCAACCCACTGGGCTCTCGTCTCTGCGTCGGCATTGGTATTATCTGTGTAGAGTATGGCATGCCGCCAAAAAGTCAACGAGTCATCCAATTGACGCCCTCCACGGTCTGCTGGGTCTGGTGCAAACATTGCGACGTGGGCGGGCCAGAGAGAGGGTTTGGAACAGTAACGAGGGTGTGGGCTGGATGATTGCGAAATGTCCGCGTAACATGCGAGAGGGTTGAGCGACAAGAAAAGGGTCGGGGTGTGCTGTACGTACCAACCACCACAGACTTTCCGGCTGCAAGGTGTTCCTTTGCCACTTTTATGCACTTAGGGCGCTATCGCAAACGATCGGTTGGTCAGTTTCCTTGTTGATATGGACTTTCCTCGTATACATCCATCTGACACTGCAGGAAGAGCCCTGATTGCTTTTTCTTGGAGGTGCTCTGACTCATCTGCCCGAATCTCATTGGAGTATGCAAATTGACAAATGCAGACAGACGAAAGTGAAGTCAACTCGGACATGGTAAAAGAGGATAGACGTACAGTTTTGAGGAGGTCTTGGTTGACTCGTTCGTAGGTCAAGGGTTCTAAATAGTCCCAGTAGAACGTTGACTTGCCCGCTCCCGGGCTGCCGCAGAAGATCACCAATTCAAGTGGGCTCTCTCCGGAAAAGGGAGGCGACACTGCTTCGTCCGTTATTGAATATCGAAGATAGACCCGTGGCGGGTTCACAATCATCCTACATGAGATGACATACCATCGTCACCAGGAGCTTCTTGCAGATACGTGGACGGGTCGAACGATTCCACGAGTGGTTCTGGATCAGCGTCCAGGAAAAACTCCTCGGGGGTCTTGAAGGACAGTCCAGCATTGATAGCGAACCCACTTCAGCCGCCGTTAGCGAGGGAAAGGAATATGCTCGGTTTCTGGCTCACCGATCTACTTGCGAGTGGTCTCTCGGCCGTCCAGCGGCATCGCCAACAAAAACAGAATGGCGGAGGTCGACACCAGAAATGTCAAAGTCGTAATCGTCTAGGAACTCTGTCCACAGTCCTGTTCTGGGTTTCCGGTAACCATCATCTTCTGTGGCAGCGTAGACGCTCATTGGGATATCCAGTTGCTTCATAACGGCAGCAGCTCTTTCCTTGAAGTTTGTAAGACTTTTGGAGTCGCCGTTGCCCACCTTGATCTCCTTTTTCAAGCTGATCTTTTTCTGGTTCGTTATGACGATCACATAATATCTTCGAAATCAGCAACTGGAGACTATTTGTAACAATGGAAGAGCTTCCGCCATTTCATCACATACCCCTTCTCATTTAACTCTCTGAGTTTGGTCGGCACCGTACTATGCCACCACTTCCAGTCTGCTGAGCTTTTAGGAAATGTGTTTCCTGATACTGTGGACACCAGGGTCGAGTCCTGCGATGATGCGTCGGTTAGCATGGGGAGAGGGTTCCCTCATTGTGAACTGAGTCCAGTCTCACGACCCTTACCAGATCAAAGGCAGCGACTTTGGGCTTTTCGGCCGTCTGTTTGCGCTCGGCTTCAGCGACATACTTACCTATTATGGCGCTGTTGTTCACCACGCGCCAAGTGATCTGCTCGGGTTTCTTTTGTGAAGCAGGGGTGAAAAACGAGGACACAGCTCTCTCTATAATGGCGTCAGATAAGACCCCGAGCAATATCTGGTCGATATGGAGTTCCGGGCCTGAATCTGCACAATGATCTTGACTTACTAGTGATGGTGGATTCCACCTTTCGCTTGACCGGAGGCGGAGAGATGGCGCGACTGGGGGACGCTGCTCGTTTGGTGGCCCCAGCACCGGCCATTCTGAGATGTTGCAGGCGGGGGATAATCTTGATGGTGATTTTGCTTTTCTAATGGGCGTTGAGCGACACGGACGAACTGAATGGGCACCTGATGAATGGGAGAGTGTGCCTGGTTCAATGCACGAGTCGAAAAGTGGAAGGGAGACGCGCGGGTACACGCGAAAAGCCATCACGAAGTCACATGCTCAAATGTAAAATTGCGGGAATCACCAAAGCCGATCAGTGCAACCGCCAAAGACTGATATGTTAAGAGTCGGCTATAATGCTCTAGGTCGTCAGCTGGTATCTTTTTGATTCTCAAATACATCTTGCGACTTTACTCCTACTGAATATTCGTCTGAAGCATCGGATGTACATTGATAATAGAGCTAAACCACAGGAACAGAGAGCCAACATAGCTCCGGGGGTATAAAACATTGTGAAAGAAGCAAGCGCCAGGATGCATCAGTTACTTCGCTCGGGTATCCAGAGACAGCCTATCCGCTTGTTCGAGCCGTACAGCGGACTTGAGTTGCTCTCGAAGCCCGAACAGATGCTGAGAAGCCGTCTTCATCATTTCCTGGTTGCTTCCGTCCTGGACAGTAATTGCGGCTTGCAGGACGTAACTACCCGTTCGCTCGAGCGGAGTGAGCTCGTGATAAGCAGGTAGCTGCCGTCGAGGGCCATGTAAATCCTGCGACTCCGCCTGGGGATACAGCAAGACGCGATGGAGGAAGATGACGATATCATTTTGGACGAAGACATCTCCTTCTACCATGTACTCGGTAACAAAACTGACATTCCAGGTCAGTTTCGTTCGTCTGCAGTCTTCAAGGTACGAGCGGGGAAGTGATGGGCGTATCAGCTACGGGGGAGAGACCGACCTATAGCCCCAGGCATTCATGGGAACTGCAATATCACCTTTAGGCAAGCTTGCACTTGCCATCAAGCGAGTGGTCACAGCCGATCGAGTACCAGCCTCGGGAATGTCTCTGAACTCCAGCTTCCAGGGTTGGTTCTCGTAGCAGTAGGAGGACTGGTCGGTTCCAGACATAGACACATCTGCATCATGGGAGGCTGACATGGCCGACAAAGAGGTCGCGCCAAAATCCGCCTTGGTCACAGGGCCAACGACCTGGGTGTAGTACATGCCCCCATTCAACATCTTGTTCAAACGTTGCAGGTCGGCGCCCTGCACATCCTGACTGGCTCCCACCCGGGTGGTGACAAGGCCTGGCTTGCGATAGGCCTTGAAGACCAGCCGTCTCTCCAGGCGGTGACGCGGTTGCATGGCTGTTAAGCCGGCCAGCTGTTGGAGGAGCTCATGGTGCTGATGGGCTGGGACCGAGGCGAAGAGCAGAAGCTCATGCATGGTCACAAGGGAAATAAAGAAAGATCGAGACTAAGAAGAGTAAAATCCGGGATCAAGGGGGGAAGAAGGGAAGAAGGGGTATAAGGTGTGCCTAAATCCGTCTAGCAGGTTCGGCGCCGTGATTCTGTCGGTGCTTCTGGGAGGTCGGTGATTTGGGAGGGATTTTAGGTAAGCTTTCCAGGAGCTTGGAGATTCGAGCCTTGGAGCCTTGGAGCCTTGAAGCTCCCAAGAAAGCACAGGCAGGGAATACGGGTAAACCCGGGATAGGAATCGGTCCCAAGAAGGGAAATTTTCCATCCGGCACTTCTTCCGAGACCCAGAGGTAGAACCTACTACGGAGTAGTAGATCAATGGTACTACTACGGTAGTACAGTAGATACGGTACGTACCCTACTTTCCCCGGCGTAGTGATGAAGGACAAAAGGAATCAGTGCTAGTCTTATAGTTCTCTATATTGGTGCGACATGTACCTACTCAGACTAAAGTACTATGGACTCCATGCTAATGAATTATACTACTATCTACTGTAAGTCGGGTACATAGTAACTTACGGATAGTATGTATATGTGATGCGGGGATGAACATCCGGGAGGGGGAAAGTCAAAATGCCCCCCTCCTCCTCCCTTCGCCCCAGGCCATAACGTGATGATGATCACGCCAGATGGGTAATCAGACGATGTACTCGTACGTACTTTACAGTAGCACATAAGTTATATGTCAAGATAAGACTGGTTACACCATAGTGACCCAAGTGACTGCAGCCCTCACAGGCTGCTTTAGTCAGGCACGCCTCCTTCACCGAGATTGCGGGTTTAGGCAAAGCTCGGGGCAGCCCGACATCCTTCGGAGCCGTTGATTTGGGGAAAGATGAGGGGAAACACATCCCTGGATTCCCTCCAGCGGTCCAGCGGCCGGTGGCTTCATTGATAGGTGAATAGGTGAGTAATTGTCAGATCATGCCACAGAAAGAGGAATGTTTTCCGCCTGGCGAGATCAATCGAGAGATGATCGCAGCTTGGGGGGAGGAGAAGAAGAAGAAGAAGGGGAGAATTTAGCCTTTCGGAGGGTAAAATCCGGCAGCCGGCGGGTGTGGTTGTTGTTGTTAATAATTAATAGCCCGTTATTAACTAACAGTTAACTCTCACTCCATACAGACTTATTCGTATGCGTAGGAGGAGCTTATCAGTAGAGAAAAAACCCACACCCTCGCTTCCGCTCCCCGAGGACTCGACCGATCACCGACCGACGTCGTGTTCCATTCGCCTTTTTTCCACTTCCCCCCCCCCCCCCCCCCCCCCCCCCTCTCCTCCTCCTCTCGCTCCTCCTGCTCCTCCTCTGTCTTCACTTAATTCAATTCCTCTCCCATACCTCCACCCCTCCCTCAATCTTCCTCTTCCTCTATACATACACAATCTTGTCCCGCCTGTTGCCTATATAATTGCCTTGAATTCATATTTGGGATACACCAGCTTGCCGTACCTACAATCAATTTCCCGCCCCTGCTCATTTCCTCATTTCTCCAACCGGTTTTATCGCCCACATCGGTCGCTTCGGACAGTCCCGGAAAGCTCGCTCGGTTGCTCAACACGACTGTCTTTTTCTGCCCCTAGACTTCTTCTCCAGCCGGTATAACTTGATCAAAGATCTTATTTTACACTATCATAATGCACGCCACCATGGTTCTCCGTAACGCTGCTCGCACCCCTCTCATTCGTTTCCTCGGAAAGCGCTCTGTGCCTAGTTGGTCTCTCTGTCTTGTCTGACTTGTTCACGGATTCAGTTGTCTAACGCGCGTCTTACCAGAGTCCATTGACCACACTCCTCGTGCTCACCCGGCTTCCCCTACTGGTGTCCTTCCTGATTCCTTCGCCGCCTATCGCTCTAAGGCTCAGCAGCACGGTCCCCTGGGTCGTGCCTCTTTCTCCCAGGGCATCGGTCGCGCCTCGGGCGCTTCTCTGGGACCCATCCAGCCCAAGCAGGGTGAATTCTTCGACCGTACTGAGCTCCCCTCCCGGTTCCACCGTCTGCCCTGGACCGAGGCCGAGATTGAGGCCATTGAAACCGGTGGTGCCAGCCTGTTCGCCTAGGTGCTTAAGAATGTCCAATGAGGAGATGACGAGACGATAAAGGTCATTTAACATTGACGGGATGCACGACACATGATGTCACGCTGCGATGAGAGACTGGTGGCCTGGACCACGGCACCTGCGCGCCCGCGTCAGGAAGGACTACCAGTGACTCTGTGAAGGTCACCGTCCTCTCTCGTATCACCTCAACTTGCACGTCACTTTCTTCGGGACCCGAAACACTGTCTTATACGGGTGATGGGTCGTTCAGTCGGCGTGCCCATTCTGGAAGCTGATCCGGTCCCTCTTCTCTTCTTTTCGCCACTGCTTCTCTCATTCTCTGATTCGAACACGGCGCTGGTGGTTGCTCGTCTTCATGCTTAGCGGTTCAAAATTCTTGTTCTTCGTTTGGGGCGTGGTTGCTACATGTGGGATAATCTTTTCTCTGTCTGTTTGGGACATGCTGAGGTCTATTGAGATCTATTCAGACTCTTGTGTATAGCTGATTCGTTGATCCGGATTGAAAAGTCTGCTGGAAATAGGGTTTGTACACGGGCGGAGATACTTTGGTCTCTATGATGAGACTTGGGAGAGTTCAACCAATGGGATTCAATCATGAATCTGGAATTCTACAGCCTTGATGATTCCTAATTTCTACTGCGTTAGCTGCCGTAAAGATAGAGGCTCAAGGATACCGAGGATGCCAAGGTTAGCGGTGATTCAAGAACGCACTGAGTATAGATATGGATCTCTTTGCACGTGCTGCTGCAGGGGTCCTAGCGTCGTCGGTCTCGACCACGCAATCAACCTCCAATCAACCTCCACTCAACCAACATATATGACTGGATTTACCTTGCACATGGAACTTTGCACCATCTTCAATCAACCCTGAGATCCCGAATCCTGGTCGATTCGGGTCTTTCTCTTTTTTTTCTGTAAGAAAAGAAAAAAGTGCAGCGCAAACGTCTTAAACACAAAGAATGGCTTTCAGCAGGGGCTCGGAGCCCATCACCTTTAACGAAGTGGATGAAGCCAACCATCCCACAGCCACTTATGTCTACACTCAATCAACTCGCTCTCTGCCATCGGGGCATAGCAACGGCCGTGCAAACAGCGGACGTATAGATCTTCTGGTCAGTTGAAATAGCCTTGCCCTCTCTAATGGTACTGGTGTGAAAGCGATCGAGTGCTACAACTGACATGTGAGCTGATACGGTTTTCCAGCATGATCCCTCCAGCTTATCAACAACTTTATGGTCTTCCAAGGCAATACTGGACATCCTTGCTGACGTCTTCCTCCCTACTGGATATCCGCACAGTGTCACTGAAGACTACACCCCGTAAGTCTGGTAAACTCGGTCCCGACCATGATTCTGACTAACGCACTGCAGCTATCAGATCTTTGTATGTCTGTGTTTACCGCGTCCATCGCAAGCGATCCACTTCCGGCATAGACATTGAGGCACCCCTCTTCACGGTGTGACTGACCATGGTTCCTTAAGGACTCCCTTCAAGCATTCAGCAGCTCTATCGCAGGTCTCCTGTCATCCAGGGCGGTCTTACAAGGTTGGTCATACTGCATATACCCTCACTCTGCCACAATTACAGGGCAAGCACTGATAAACAATCTACAGGCGTGGGTGTCGGCAACGCTGATGCATCACCTACTTCAGCTCTACTCCTCCATATCCTTCAAGACTCATCCGGCCGCATCGCCACCATTCTCTTCGCGCATCGGATCGGTACCGCGCTCGAGCCAGAATGTAAGAAGTATCGGCTTGCGGCGGACATTTTCAACGATGCGGCCATGATCTTGGACTGTCTTTCGCCCATGGTCCCAGCGGGTGCTCTTCGAGTTCTCGTACTCAGCACAGCAGGCATTCTTCGTGCCCTTTGTGGCGTCGCAGGTGGAAGTTCCAAGGCGAGCTTGAGTGCGCACTTTTCTCGATGGGGCAACCTAGCGCAGGTTAATGCTGTAAGTAGCTGTGTGCACAGCTCACCCTTGTAGTGACCTATCTCTATGTCCGAGGTCAAGAGAGGTAACATCTTTTCAACAACAGAAAGACTCGTCTCAGGAGACTATCATCTCTCTCGTTGGCATGCTGGTAGGCCCCTCCTTCCCTCCCATTGATCCTGCTCGCCCCTGCACGCTACATGCATGCATCCACGCATGCATAACAGCGCTAGCTGACAGGTTGCAATAAAAAAGGTTGGGTCCTTCGTCGTCTCGCATGTGACAGGTTTCGCTGCAACATGGATCGCCCTCCTAATCCTTTTGGCCCTGCATTTGAGTCTGAACTATGCAGCCGTCCGCTCCGTTCAAATGACGAGTCTAAACAGACAGCGGGCGAACATTGTCTTCTCCACCATTCTCAACACTGACGGGGACTTCCTGCAACTGATGGACAAGGACGCCGGCACTAGTACCAGAACTCACCGCACAACAATCTCTCCCCACAAACCGAGTGCGGATCACGACCAACTCCGAATCCTCACGCCATCCCAAGTCGCCAAACAGGAGAAGATCTTTGAGACAGACGGCGTTCTCAGATGGTCATCTCCTGTTCCAACCCGACCAGCGGGTTTGTGCATCGGCACCTGCCGGATCGGCGTTTCCCTTCGTCAATTTCTCCTCGGTCCATCCTCTTCCTCCTCTTCCTTCTTCTGCTTCTCCTCCCTCGCCCTCGTTTCCACCCATTCCTCCCTATCCCTAAAGACTAACATCCCTCTTCCGCAACTCTCTACCCTCTTCACAGACGAGCACTACATCCTCTTCCCCAGCTTCTTCACGGGCAAATGTCACGCCAACATCCTCCTGAAATCTAGCTGCACCCCGCAGAGCCAGCTCAAAGGCTGGCTACACGCCTTGCTCGCAGCAAGAGTTCTTTCTTGCAGTCACCCCTCTTCCCCCAGCGCAAAACCATCTGAGAAAGGGAGCGAACCCGAGATGGATGGGATGAGCATCAGCCCCATTCTCGACGTTCTTCACCGCACACTGTCCTTTCTGAATGAAGATGGCCGGTTCGAGCGGTACATGGCCGCCCTCGAAAATGCAGGGTGGGATCTCACCATCCGGGCATTGGAGACGAAGTCGGGCAGAAGAGTTTGTTGATGTACCAAAATCCAGTCTAATCACAAGAAAAGTTTTGTAGTTTGCCCGGCGCCTGGCAACTTGACCCGCCTGATGAACGTTCGACTTCCTCTCATTACCTTGTAAAACAGAGTCATGTCCCAGATGTTTCCTCCAACAGTACACACGAACTTGGGGAGGGGGACAAACCCCCTTTCCTTGGATGGATCCAGGTCTAAATGCCTCAATGTATCGCTAATTTATTCCCATGATGGAAAGGCCCAAGCTGGGGTGGTTCGTCTGGACTCGAACGCTTCCCACTTGACCGTATCAACCTTTCCCTTTGGTTTGATGGACACCTAGAATCAGCGCCATAGATTCCGTCCGTACTCAAGAGAGAGGTTGCGCCAGTGCCTCGAGCTCGAGCGCAGTTTCGTTGTTCCAGTCTAACCCAATTGAGATGGGCGATGCTTTGCAGAAGCTGTCACCGAAGTTCACACGTGATTCCGCGTTGTGCTGTATATATGTAAAGTGCATGGATGGCCCCCTTCTCTGACGCAGTGACAGGATGCTCATGCACGGGGGCTCTATGGCTTGCTGTAATTGCCGCCAAAGCATATGATAGTCCAAGAGACTACACAAGAAACGCGCAACGTTGACAATGCATCAAACCATGGGTATCTATTGACCGACTTCCAGTACAGTGATGCTAATGCTAATGCTAATGCTAATGCTAACGTTAATGCTAATGCTGATGCTGATGCAGACCCCGTGCTATGCAAACAGTGCATGGCCATATGAAAATATAAAGAAATAACACAAAAGAATACAGAAGGGTAATTGCGAAGGAACCCGACGAATGGCCTCTGCCGGTACCTCATGATCCAGAAAACATAAATTCATGCACATCACATCACGACCAACAGCCACACGACAGCACAAAAACGCCAGGAAAAAATAAACTCCGAATGCCACACCATTTTGAGCCCTGTCTATATGAGTTTTGTTGACACAGAATATCGAAATGCTCGCTAAATCGCTCGCAGGCTGAGCAAAACACAAACACACACACACACACATACACCAAAAGAGAAGAACGAGAAGACGGCAAAGCGCCTCTTCTGAAAATGCTTTCCAGGTTGGAAGCATAAAAACCAAATATGCACGGGCATTATATCGTCATCATGGCCATCCCCTCGTGGTCATATCTGAATTAAAATGCTCGCTGAAGGAATCGAGAGACCAGTCGTAGACACATTGTAAACGTGTGAGGGATGAGCTCGGAGGCGTCAGGTCTACCGAAGGGAGAGGACGTGGAAACACGGTAGCCGTTTCGTGGTACACCTCCAGGGTGGTAAATCAGGGGTGGAGTAAAGGCTGTGATCCGCAAAGGGGACAGCAGCAAAGCTTCACTGTCTTCCAGAAAGTTCCCGGCTTTCGGTGTAGGGCAGGCCTAGTTTGCGGGGCTCGGACGGCCAGTCATTCGTCCATGCCGGATAGTTTGAAGTGATGGCTGCCGGAACCACTGTTCCCAGAGCGCTTCTTGAAACCCAGCTTCATTCCCATCTTCTTCCAAGGGTTGTCGGACCGCTTCGGGCTGTGACCGAGTTGCATACTATTGGGTTCACTCGAGGGTGGAGTCGTCGGTGGTGTCATCGGTTCACCTGCACTAACATTCGACTGCACGCTTCCTGAATCATCCGTTAAAGCGCTGCCCGATGCCGACTCCCCGCTAGCACTAGTGACATGACTTGATGTGCGATGACCCGCCTTGCTCAAGGATGAAGTCATCGCACTCAACGAGAAGTTCGACCGGGTGGGGTGGCCAGTCGGGGACCCGACGGAGACCGGGGAGCCTAATTCCTTGGAGGAACGGGGCGATAAGCGGCGACCCTTCGAACGAACCCGCTTAACCGTGTGATCGTCGAGACTCGCATTGGAAACGACAGTGACATCCTCGTGCGGGAAGAGTGGCTCGGATAGGGGGAAGACGTGAGCAGCAGCGGCGTGAGCGTTCAGGAATGGGATGAAGATCGACTCTTCCATCAGGTCGTGAACGAGTTTCACGGCAAGGTCCAGGATTTCGGGGGGTGGCGGGGGAGTTTGGTTCGCATATCGAAGAATATCTTCCCGGACTTCGCTGGAGACGTTGATCTCACGCGGAGAACCAGGGATGATGTAGGCTGTCAACAGTCGTTGCCAGAGCATGCGCAGGTGTTGGCTTTCGGGACATTCACTGGCAATGGGAGATTGATTCAGTTGGCGGCTCAGAGCGTTGTAGGTTTCCC